AGGGGCACTCAACCACTGAGCCACATCCCCAGCCCTATTTTGTATTTTATTTAGAGACAGGGTCTCACTGAGTTGCTTAGCACCTCGCTTTTACTGAGGCTGGCTTTGAACTCATGATCCTCCTGCCTCAGCCTCCCGAGTCACTGGGATTACAGGTGTGCACCACAGTGCCCGTCTGTGACATGGCTGAGTAGCTGGGACTACAGGTGTGTGCATGCCACTGCACCAACTACATCAGTTTTTTCATCGCCCCAGAGAGAAACTTGATCCCCATTAGTAGTCACTTCCCATCTCTACCCAATCTATCCTCCCCACCCCAGCCCTAGGCAACCACTAATCTACTTCTGTCTTTATAGATTTGCCTATTAGAGACAGTTCATATAAATAGGATCATATAATATGTTTAATTAATTTTCATGAGTCTACTGAAAGAAATTGCAGTGAGATCAAAAGAAATGCAAATGAATTGTATAGCTTTGGACTTAGGAATCCCAGATATGAAAGAGAATGCCATACCTCCGTCCTTCCTTCTTCTCCCCGCAACCTCCTGATTTTTGTTCGTTATATTTTATTTTTGAATTTTCTACAGTTTTAACATTCACAATCTGTTCTCTATATATAATCCTTGGAGTTGTTTGACAGTGGTCCCATATTTAGATTCAATGCTCATTACCAGTCTGTTACACAGATTCTCCATTCCTGAGTTTATTTTGCTTCAGCCCTTAACTGGGTAGATTTTGTGGCTAAATGGTTTAAGACGGTTTTGGGCTCCTTACTTGAATGTCTAACTGGGTGTAATATTCTCAAGTCACCCTTTTCTTTCCCTCTTTAATTTGTAAATATTTGCTTTGCTGTCTTCTGGTATGGACAATAAAGTTAGCCTGATTTTTAAAAATTCTTTACTTGATTCGGTTTTTACATCTGCAATACTGGAAGATTTCATTATTTATTCTTGAAGCTCAATAGCTTAGCTAGTGTATTAGTCATCTGTTGCTGTATAACAAATAACCCTAAAACCCAGCAGTATAAAACACCACTCATAGGCTGGGATTGTGGCTCAGCGGCAGAGCCCTTGCCTCACAAGTATGAGGCATTGGGTTCCATCTTCAGCGCCACATCAAAATAAATAAATTAATTAAGTAAAGATATTGTGTCCCTCTAAAAAAAAAAAAAAAAAAAAGAAAGAAAAGAAAGAAAAACAAAAGTGATAAGGAAAGACACTGGGAGAGTCTTTCTCACTTGTGGCAATAATAGAATTTTGGGGACAGAATAAAGCATTGGGCAGAGTCAAAGGTAGTCCTAATGACTCATTAGGTCAAATGGAAAATTTCCCTTTGCTTTATGAACTAGTGATATTTGTCAAATTTGGCTCAGTGCAAATGCTATTGGAATGCACCTTGCAAACCTCTGAGCTTTGCATATAAACCCGAACTCGTCATTGTTACGATGCTGCTGCGTATATTGTTTAGGGGCTCCGACCGTGTGGTCGAGTGGTACCAGAGCCCTGGGTGGTCCAGGAGTAATCAAGAGATGCTTTAAATGTCCTTTATCACCTCAGGGGGATGAACTTATCGCTTCCTGAAAGCACGATGAGAAATGTATGGTCCACGCTATGTTAGAGACTGATGTATGCCCATTTTTTTATAGCTTGGTATTGGAAATAAAACCGGATGGTGCTCGCATTAGTGGGAGATTAAAAAAAAGAAGGAGAAAAATTTCTTCTCACTCGAGTGGGTTTCTAACACCCAACACGGCAGGAAAGCTGAAAGCCAGAGTGAAAACAGCTCCCTGGGGTGCTCGTCAATTTCCCTCTCTTCCCACTTTTCTAAGGCAGCAAACACCTCTGAGGGAGACGGAGAGAAAGATGTGGTTTTGGAGATGTTAATATTTGTTTGGCGAAGTGTTCTGTGTCTTTAACTTGTGATGAACTTTCAGATAGAAATTTGGGGAGAAACATTGATAGGGGACGGCTGATCTTCCAAGGAGAATAGAAACGCATATCTGAAAAGGGTTATTCCTACCAATTCCTAACATGATCTTATCCAGTCACTGGAAAAAGCTAGAGTAATGTTACTCAAAGAGACAGAACCAGTCTGGAAGTGTACAGAATTGGGGTTACGATTATATCTATTTCAAATACTCTGCGTGTTCCCTAAAGTGAAAAGTGTATTAATAGATAAAACGAGATGATTCAGGACAACTCTACCCCAAATCAGGAAGAATAATCAAAAGACGTTCACATACATGAGCTACTTGGCCTGGAGTTCATTGTCTTTGAAATCCTCATTTTGAATAAGGGCTGTTGATTTGATCTTAGGTTTTTTACTTTACTCAAGAATAAGACTGAAAATTCATGTTGGGATCAATTATTTCAACCACCTGGGTTAGATCTGAATTATTATGAATACTGAATAAATACAGACTCAAGGAATTTCTGGAATGACCATTTTCCAACTACATAGCCTGAGGTATTAAATCTGTGCTTTGAATCCAGGAGCGCTTAACCCCTGAGCCACATCCCCACCCCTTTTTATATTTTATTTAGAGATAGGGTCTCACTGAGTTGCTGAGGCTGGCTTTGAATTCATGCTCCTCCTGCCTCAGCCTCCCAAGCTGCTGGGATGATAGGCATGCACACTGTGCCTGGCACATATGTTCTAGATAGTCCCTGACCTGAGAAGATTAAAACCTCCTGAAATAAGTGAATTAAAAAGTGAATTATAAGTATACAGTCCATATCTAGATACCTAGACAAAACATTTATTTTTGGATGAATTTTAGGACTGTATAGGTGTCAGAAGCCAAAGAAAAGACAAGAATCAGGGTGTGTGTGTGTGTGTGTGTGTGTGTGTGTGCGTGTGTTCTATTTACTAAAATTAGCCAACAGTACCATGCTATCAATTTCTTTGACCAGCTAGAAAGGCTTTAAAGACAAAAGAAAGTTCTCTTCAATTGAGTTGGTTACAAGGCTTGCAACTTTTCAGGGTTTTCAATGTCTGGATCACTTTTGCAATTAGTAGATTCCATGGTTTGGGTGTGGTTTGATTGTTCCCCAAGAATTTATGTGGTTGGAGGCTCGGTGTCCAGGGTGGTGCTGTTGGGCAGTTCTGGGGAACCTGTAAGAGGGAGCTCCTGGGAGCTTCTTGGGTCCTTTGGGAAGTGCCTTTGGAAGGTAGTTCTCATGAGTCTCCTTGGTAGTTCCCATGAGACGTTGTTATGGAAGCTGAGTCTGGCCCTTCCCAGTCTCTCTGCTCCTGGTGAGAGATGGAATCACTTGTTCCTGCCATTATTCTCTCTGCTATGAGGTGGTACAGCCGGGGTGCTCACCACACAGCCTGCTCTGTGCCTTTTGAACTTCAAAAATGGTGAGCTACATAAATCTCTTCTTTTTCAAAAGTAACTTGTGTCAGGTATTTTGTTATATTGATATGAAGCTGACTAAAATAGTAGGAAAAGCAAATGATAAAATTTTGATTGCTTTTCTTTTTTTTTAAATTGATTTTCTTTTTTAAAATACATGACAGTGGAATGCATTACAATTCTTATTACACATATAGAGCACAATTTTTCATATCTTTGTATATAAAGAATGTTCACGCCAATTCATGCCTTTATACTTGTACTTTATTTTTTTGCATCACAATTCTTATTACACATATATTCCACAATTTTTCTTATCTCTGTTTGTATACAGAGTATGTTGACACCCAATTTGAGTCTTCATACATGTACTTTGGATAATGATGTCCATCACATTCCACCATCCT